TATGTGCATGGATACTGTTTCCTGAGGCACCTCCAGATTCTTCAGTTCCTCCATCACCTTTGGGAGCCCATAATGGGGAGGGGGCCCTTATTACGAAAGCCCTTTCAATACAAAAGCAAGCAAGAGCCAGTCATTGGCTCCCCTTCTGCTTTTGCCAAGCACATGGGGCTCCTCATGTTGCACAAGGAGAAATGTCGCATGCTACGCAATTGCTGAAATGGGGAACAGGCCAAAGCAATCTGGAAAGCTTAAGAAAATAGTCAACCCAAGATGTTGACCATCCGAAAACAGAAAAGTAAATGTTACCCTTGACTCCCAAAGTCAATGCAAAATATCTTGGTACCAGTAAAAATATTTTGGCCTTTGTCCCTTCCTGGAAGCACAAATCCAGCTATACAATACCCGAGTCACAACAACTTGTCCTTTCTGAGTGTGCTCTTGGAGGAGGGCGTCATCCACTGCTTTATTATTATTATAATTATTATAACTTTATTTGTACCCCGCTAGCATCTCCCAAGGGATTCGATGCGGCTTACAACGGGCCGAAGCCCACACAATACAACAATACAACAATACAACAATACAGTACCTAGCAAATAAAAACAGTTAAGCAAAAACAATAGCAAAAGCGGTACAACAAGACATTATTAAAACTGAGCCGGCCAGAGTGGGGTACAGGATTAAAAGTGCTGATGTGTCGGAGGGATATGGGATTATAGTATAAGTGCGGTGTGCGGTGATCTTGGTTCTAACTAAAGTGCTTCTGGGATTTGGTACTGGGGTTCCTAGTCTGAAAAGGCACATTGGAACAGCCAGGTTTTCAAATTCTTCCTGAAGACTGCCAATGTAGGGGCTTGTCTGAGATCTTTCGGGAGGGCATTCCAGAGGCGGGGGGCCACCACAGAGAAGACCCTGTCTCGTGTCCCCACCAAGCGCGCTTGTGACGCGGGCGGGATCACGAGCAGGGTCTCTCCAGATGACCAGAGTGAACGTGTGGGTTCGTAGACAACGATAAGGTCACGCAGGTAGGGTGGTCCCAAACCATTCAGGGCTTTGTAGGTAAGCACCTGCACCTTAATTTGGGCTTGGAAGATAAACGGCAGCCAGTGGAGCTCCTTGAACAGGAGGGTTGACCTCTCTCTGTAAGGTGCCCCAGTTAACATCCTGGCTGCTGCCCGTTGGACCAATTTGAGTTTCCGAGCCATTTTCAAGGGCAGCCCCACGTAGAGCGCATTGCAGTAATCCAGTCTGGAGGTGACTAAGGCGTGGACCACCCCGGCCAGATCAGCCAACTATGAGTCAAGAAAAGTCAGAACTGAGAACAACTTAGAGGAGGAGGTTTTTTTTTTTTTTTTTAAGGAGACAGCTCACAAAGAGTGAGAATAAGAGAAAGATGGGACAAAGCTGAATAGGGCTCATGATGGAAGTTGAGATGAGAAGATCTGAGCTGCAGAATGCCCGGCTGCTTCCATGCCTTGTCTGAGCCTTCAGATCAGCAGTCCAATTCCAGGTTCCGCCAGTTCCAAGAAAATCGATTCGGGAAGAAATTAAATGTTATCCATCCAGCAATGTGTGAGGTGACAAAATTGGTGTGTTTGAGCACAGTAATCGTTTCCATTTTGTAAAAAATGTTTTTTAAAGATCCATGGAATAGACTGCCTGCCACTCTATTCTTTCCTTGAAAGCTTGGATACAGTCACTTCTTGAGAAGGTCATGGACAGAAAACTAAATATTGTGCAAAAGGAGAAGGAAGGAAGGAGCAAAACCAAAGACTAATGCAAATCTGTCGACGCCACAGTCCCCTCTCAAAAGGTTAAGAATTGCAGCATCCACGCCATCTATATAAATAAAAATGTAATGTTTGTTTGTGGGATTGTTGTTGTTCATTCATTCAGTCGTCTCCGACTCTTCGTGACCTCATGGAACAGCCCACGCCAGAGCTCCCTGTCGGCCGTCACCACCCCCAGCTCCTTCAAGGTCAGTCCAGTCACTTCAAGGATGCCATCCATCCATCTTGCCCTTGGTCGGCCCCTCTTCCTTTTGCCTTCCACCTTCCCCAGCATCATTGTCTTCTCCAGGCTTTGCTGTCTCCTCATGATGTGGCCAAAGGACTTCCACTTTGTCTCTAGTCTCCTTCCCTCCAGTGAGCAGTCGGGCTTTCTTTCCTGGAGGATGGACTGGTTGGATCTTCTCATAGTCCAAGGCACTCTCAGCACTTTCCTCCAGCACCACAGCTCAAAAGCATCGATCTTCCTTCGCTCAGCCTTCCCTAAGGTCCAGCTCTCACATCCGTAGGTGACTACAGGGAAGACCATGGCTTTGACTAGGCAATGGATCTTTGTTGCCAGTCTGATGTCTCTACTCTTTACTATTTTATCGAGACTGGACATTGCTCTCCTCCCAAGAAGGAAGCATCTCCTGATTTCCTGGCCACAGTCTGCATCTGCAGTCATCTTTGCACCTAGAAATACAAAGTCTGTCACGGCCTCCACATTTTCTCCCTCTATTTCCCAGTTGTCAATCATTCTTGTTGCCATAATCTTGGTTTTTTTTATGTTTAGCTGCAGTTTGTGGGATGAACAGAACTCAAAAACCACTGGGCAGATTGACACCAAATTTGGACACAAGACACCTAACAACCCAATGTATGTCCATCGCTCCAAAAAAACACAGAAAAACACAGCAGAAGGGACTTAAAAAGCCCCCAAATATAAATGACGAAAAGCTAAACGACAATACAGAAAACAGGGAAGAAAGAAGGCGGGAAGGGGAGAAAAGAAAGAGGGAGGGAAAGAAAGAAAGAAGGAAAGGGAGAAGGAAGGAAGGAGAGAAAGAGGGAGGGAAAGAAAAAAGGGGAAGGAAGGAAAGTTAGAGAAGGAAGAAGAGAAGGAAAGAAAAAAGGGAAAGAAGGAAGGAAAGAGGGAGCGAAGGAAGGGGGGAAGATGTAGAGAAAGAAGGAGGGAAGGAAAGAGAGAAGGAAGAAAGAGAGAAAGCAGAAGAGAAAGAAAAGGGAAAGGAAGGAAAGAGATAGAGAAGGAAGAAGAGAAGGAAAGATGGGAAGGAAGGAAAGAGGGAGTGAAGGAAGGAGGGAAAGAAGGAGAGAAAGAGGGAAGGTTGGCCACAGCAAGGCGTGGCGGGTACAGCTAGTCTATATAAATAAAAATGTAATGTTTGTCTGTGGGATTAACATAACTCAAAAACCACTGGATGAATTGGCACCAAATTTGGACACAATACACGTATCAGGCCAATAAGTGATCATCACTCATTAAAAACACCAAAAAACACATAATAATAATAATAATAATAATAATAATAATAATAATAATATCTTTATTTATACCCCGCCACCATCTCCCTGATGGGGAGTCGGGGCGGCTAACATGAAGCCAAGCCCAAAAATGCAACACAGCACAATAAAATACAGAATGCAGAGAACAAAAAAATACATCAGAAAATAGTTACAGTAACAAATAAAATAAATAAAGCAAATTAACACGATATAAAAGAGACTTAAAACAGCCAAAAAACAAAAAAAATACATTACAACGCATGTGCAAAACCACACACACACACACATATATATATGTTGTAGTACAGCATGATAGTCATGTTACTACTACTGGTAGAAGGGAGAAGAGGGCTGCGCAGGTGTTGGAGGAGGAGCAGCAGTGAAAGCGGATTAGAGACATCTTCATGGCTCCAACTGATTCCGAATCCTTCGAGGGTTTCTCAGACTGTGAAATGGGGGAAGGAGAGGAAAGCAGGGGAGTTAAGCAGGCTACTCAAGAACAAGAATCAGATGCGGAGATCCAAAGGAAGCGTATCCATGATATACTTAGCGCTCCAACAGAAGATGAAGATTTTGTGGGTTTTGAAAGGAGTGATGGGACTGGGAGTGACGATGGGGAGGAGGATGCTTTAGACTGGACCCGTGTGCAGGAGATTAGGGACATCTGTACTCAGCCTACCTCCAGTGATGACTTTGAGGGGTTTGCAGAGGACTGGCAATCTGGGAACACTTGGGAAGACCTAAGTCTTGACAGACGCTGGCAAAGGTGGAGAGATGGGAGGCAGTGCTCAGCTGCAGGGAATGGGGCAGCTGAAAGGGATGAGGAAAGGGTGGGGAGCAGGTCATCCTCTGAGGAGGAGTTATAGGATATAAGTTGGTTTTGGTTTCAATGGGTCTTTGCAGAAGGCAAAGTGTCTTATCGGGTTTGGATCTTTGTTCCTGCCATTATTCTCAAGTTTGGGTCCTTGGATTACAGATCTCCGTGTTTTTGTGACTTCTGGCTGGAACTCCGTAAGTGCTGACGTCAACCTCCCCTTTGACTCTGGACTGTGTTTTGATGACGACTTCGCTTTTTGGACTGCTTCATCTCATTTTGGACGTGCCTGGACTTCGGACTGTTTTTGGACTTTGATTTTGCATGCTCCCACCTTGTTTTCTTGTGCCTCCTGAAGCTTTTGAATTTCAAGCGGATTGCTGAAACTTTTTGTTATCCCAGATTATACTCCGGTATAATCCAGATTATATTTAAGTTGTGTTTTTTGCTTAGAGGTTGCTATAGACTCTTAGTTTGTGCTAGAGGCACTGAGTTAAGCGTCTCTAAGCCTTTTTTGTGTTCAATAAACCTTTGTTTGAACCTTTTATATTGTGTTTGGCGTTCTTGAGGCTTCTGGGTCTTGACATATATATATACACACAAACTCACATATACACAAATATATATACACATATATACACACATAAGCACATATACACAGATACACAGACTGGGCCACAGCAACACGTGGGAGGGGATGGCTAGTGCTATGATAAAATATTAATTCCTGCAGCCACAAACAGAAATGTCCTCCTGCATTCTGCAGAATTTTCCTGCTGTTTTTTAAAGGCCACATAAGTAAACCTGGACATTTTCTTCTTCTTTTTATGGCCTGTTTGCAAACCTATTTGGATGGGAAGCACTCGCACTACTCCGATTATCAAAACACTTACAGTCTCTGGAGTCCCGTGTACAGCTCCATATCTACGGCATGCAGCGTGTGCAAATTCCTCCAGAATTCTATGTGTCTGTGGAGAGAGGAGATGGAAAAAGAGAATGTGAGCACAACAAGATAGTCTTCCAACCTGAATGAAGATGCCTTGCTCAACACTGGAGCCAGTGAGCAAGGGTACTACTTTCCACACGGCCCAAGTTGACTCTACAACATTTTCTCCAGGAAATAGTTTTATCCAGTCTAGATATGCAATAATGCAGCACATTTACCTGAAGGGCAAAAATAAATAAATTAAACAAAACAAACCTGGGCAAATTTTTCTCCTAGGAGCATTTCTGCAAGTCCTCTTGCAATCATCACAGGAGAACGTGAAGAAACAATCACTGAAGAAAACACTGGCAAGAGTTTTCCTTGGTTGATTATAGGGAACAGGCACAATTTTATATTGCAGCACTCAGTTCTGCAATACATTGTGGACAGGAAACAGACATTAAATAAGAACAATTGGGGTACGGCATAAAGTCAGTTTAAGAGATCAGGAAAAAATGATTATAAAGAGTCTCAAGGTTGTTGTTGTGCATCTCCAAATAGTTTCTGATTTACGGTGACCCTATTGTTCTGTCACGCACTGGGCCTGTAATAATTGTCTTTTGAAACAGGACATGCACCTTGTGCCCAGCGGGAAGCCAGGGCACCTCGAAAGAGGTCCTTAAGGATTTCCCTGAAGAAATGGTCTTTAGATGGCTTGAAAGGTGAAACAAAGTCCTTTATTATTGAACAAATTAAACAGATATTTCTCAAATCTTCAATGAGTCCAACAAATGCTTCAAGGCTTTAAATCAACTGGTGGCTTCCTTAATCTTGTCCACAAGGGACAGGCAACTGTCTTCGTTCATTGTTCTTCTACTTTGAGAGGAAAACCCTTTTTGAACCTCTCCCAGGCTGTCTGTTATCTAAGCTTTGTTGGTATGGGATCTCCTACCGATTCCAAACTGTGTCTTGGTACCGAGTAAACCTCCCAGGCAAAGCTTGTAGATTCTCCAGCTGGAGTTCTTTGGGTCTGTAAAGTTGTTCTCCTGCTGGAATTTCTGTAAGACTTTAGGGCTGTTTCCCTCAGATGCTGTAAGGCTGAGAGGCTGCAAGCTCCCAGCCAGAGCTTTGGGAATTTCCCCCCAGAATGTCTTGAGAAATGAAGCTTTTCTGCAGGTGAAGCTTGTCCATGTCCTCTAACTTAGCTTTCCTCACTAAGACTAACTAAAAATGGCCCCCTCTTCCCTTCCCATCTCCCTGGGAAAAGGGGCGGATCCAAATTTAACAATGATGGACAAGTGACTTGCCCTATGACGGCAAACCAAAGGAAGCCACCCTTTTGCAGAATCCCTGAAACTTTGGAATGCATGCAAACATTAAAATAGAAAGAAAATGAAGTTGGAGCTCCTGGTACAGATGGACCAGCACACCTATCAAAGCAAGATTTGTACAGAAGGAGTCCCCCCCCCCTTCATTTGAAGCTAAAAGAGTGTGACCTACCTAAGATCCCACAATTGGGATTTGAACCTTGGTCTCTAGAGATGTAGTCCAATGCTACTACAACAGGCTGGCATTCATCTCATATTTACCAGCCAGTAAACATGTTGTTTTTGCATGATTACACAGGAGAATGGAAAGCTTTCACACCCACCATTTCAAAAGTATGCCCTCATATGTGTGAGTACATGAACAAGAGCTAAGGCAGTGTTTCTCAACCTGAGGGTCGGATTCCTGTGGGAGTCATGAAGGGGTGTTAGAGGGGTCACCAAAGACCATCAGAAAGCACAGCATTTTCTATTGGTCATGAGGGTTCTGTGTAGGAAGTTTGGCCCAGTTGTATTGTTGATGGGGTTCAGAATGCTCTTTGACTGTAGATGAACTATAAATCCCAGCAACTACAACTCCCAAATGTCAAGTGCTATTTCCCCTGAACTCTGGCAGTATTCACATTTGGGCATATTGAGTATCCATGCCAATTTTGGTGCAGATCCATCATTGTTTGGGTCCAAAGTGCTCTCTGGATGTAGGTGAACTACAACTCCTAAACTCAAGGTCAATGCCCATCAAACCTTTTCAGTATTTTCTCTTGGTGCTGAATTTGGTGCTGAATTTGGGTCCAAAGTGCTCTCTGGATGTAGGTGAACTACAACTCCTAAACTCAAGGTCAATGCCCATCAAACCCTTCCAGTATTTTCTCTTGTGTGCTGAATTTGATTCGATTCCACCATTGGTGGAGTTCAGAATGCTCTTTGATTATAGGTTAACCATAAATCCCAGCAACTACAACTCACAAATGTCAAGGGCTATTTTCCCCAAAATCCACCAGTGTTAACATTTGGGCATATTGAGTATTCATGCCAAGTTTGGTCCAAATCCAGCATTGTTAAAGTTCACTATGCACTCTTGATGTAGGTAAACTACAACTCCAAAACTCAAGGTCTCCAAACCCTTCCAGTATTTTCTGTTGGTCATGGGAGTTCTGTGTGCCAAGTCTGATTCAGTTCCATTATTGGTAGAATTCAGAATGCTCTTTGATTGTAGGCTAACTATAAATCCCGGCAAGTACAACTCCCAAATCTATATAAATAAAAATGTAATGTTTGTTTGTGGGATTAACAGAACTCAAAAACCCTGGATGAATTGACACCAAATTTGGACACAAGACACCTAACAACCCAATTTATGTCCTTCACTCAAAAAAATTGATTTTGTCATTTGGGAGTTGTAGTTGCTGGGATTTATAGTTTACCTACAATCAAAGAACATTCTGAACCCCACCAACGATGGTACTGAACTAAACTTGGCACACAGTTCTCCCATGACTAACAGAAAATACTGGAAGGGTTTGATGGGCAGTGTCCTTTGGTTTTGGAGTTGTAGTTCACCTACATCCAGAGATCACTGTGGACTCAAACAATGATGGATCTGGACCAAACTCTACACGAATTCTCAATATGCCCAAATGTGAACACTGGAGGAGTTTGGGGAAAAATAGAATCTTGACATTTGGGAGTTGTAGTTGCTGGGATTTATAGTTCACCAATAATCAAAGAACATTCTGAACCCCACCAACGATGGAATTGAACCAAACTTGGCACACAGTTCTTCCATGACCATCAGAAAATACTGGAAAGGTTAGATGGGCAGTGTCCTCTGGTTTTGTTGTAGTTCACCTACATCCAGATATCACTGTGGACTCAAACAATGGTGGATCTGGACCAAACTCTACATGAATACTCAATATGCCCAAATGTGAACACTGGAGGAGTTTGGGGGAAAATAGAATCTTGACATTTGGGAGTTGTAGTTGCTGGGATTTATAGTTTACCTACAATCACAGAGCATTTTGAACCCCCCCCCCCAACGATAGAATTGGGCCAAACCTCCCACATAGAACCCCCATGTGGGCCACAGCAACGTGTGGCAGGGGACGGCTAGTGATAAAATAAATCCGCCTGTAACCCCACCAGTATTCAAATTTGGCCTTATCGGGTATTTGTGCCGAATTTGGTCCAGTGAATGAAAATACATCCTGCATATCAGATATTTACATTATGATTCATAACAGGAGCAAAATTGCAGCTATGAAGTAGCAATGAAAATAATGTGATGGTTGGGGGTCACCACAACATGAGGAGCTGTATTAAGGGGTCGCGGCATTAGGAAGGTTGAGAAGCACCGAGCTAAGGGGTTATACCAATGGTAGGATGATGCCTCATATAACAGATGTGTATGCACCCCACCTAGTTCCCAACACAGGTCAAGCCATATTAAAATAAAATACAGCTAAAAACTTAATGATAAATCAGTAAAACAAACACAGCTAAATTAAACATAATTTCCTGTAAAAACACCATCCATTCATTTGAAACAGGATAAAAGCATTTCGGTAAACATAATGAGAAGAGTTCAGTACACACACCATTAAAAGGTGAAGGGAAGGAATTTTAAAATTAAAGTAAAAGCACATAAGGCAATATTATCTTTCAGATGGATGTAGACTTTATAGATCAGAACTCCTACTTTGAATTTTGCCAGAAAATGGTTCAGTAGCTTAAATCTCAACTAATTCAGGTGTGTTTATCTAGACAAACTCTTAATGAGACATGCCGCATTATCATAGGGTGTCTGCGCCCTACCCCATAGGAGAAATTACACTGCTTAGCCGGTATTGCACCACCTGACATCCGCCGGGAAGTAGCAGCCAATAGTGAAAGGACCAAGGCAGAGACATCTCCAGCTCATCCCCTGTTTGGGTATCAGCCAGCACATCAACGACTTAAATCCAGACATAGTTTTCTAAGATCTACAGAGACACTCGCTGGAACACCTCAGCAAGCGAGAGTCCAAAAGTGGCAGGCTCAAACCCAGCACCTCAACCAATGGCTGATACCAAATGAGAGACTCCCTCCTGGGCACATGGAAGACTGGGCGACTTGGAGGGTGTTGAACAGACTGAGCTCTGGCACCACGAGATGCAGAGCCAACCTTCAGAAATGAGGCTACAAAGTGGAATCCTCGACATGCGAGTTCAGAGAAGAGCAAACCACTGACCACCTGCTGCAATGCAACCTGAGCCCTGCCACATGCACAATGGAGGACCTTCTTGCAGCAACACCAGAAGCACTCCAAGTGGCCAGGTACTGGTCAAAGGACATTTAACCAACTACCAAACTCACAAGTTTTGTATTTTTCTGTTTGTTTGCTTTGTTCTGTTAGAAATGTAATACAATCGACTGGTTGCTCTGACACGACAAATAAAAATAAAATAAAATCTAGACAAACAGCTCTATAGCAAATTCAAACTAGTAGAAAAGAGGCACCGGAAAGTATTTAAAGGTAAACCCTTGGCCTTCAGATCTTAATGATGTATTGCTCCCTTCCTAACTACAAGAGACAGTTGTTTAATTAACCACATCTCTATTCTAAGAAAAATCCTAGATTTCTAACATAACAAACTATACGCTTGTTCACCCTTGCACTGATGTAATGGAATTTCAATAATGCATCAAGGTACGTTCTGGTTGGCTGCTCTGGGTTTAT